TTAAAAATGTAGTATAAACACCGACAACTGGGAAACACTTGCCTGCGAGCGCTCCAGCTGGAGAACAGCCTTTACCAAAGGTGTCATAGGGTTTGAAGACACTCGAACTCAGGACGAAAGGGAGAAACGTGCTAAGAGGAAGACATGCTTGGCAAACCCTCACTGTGATCAACACCCACCCGGAAACCAATGTCCCCACTGTGGAAGGACGTGTGGGTCCAGAATTGGCCTCCACAGTCACTCATTGTTAAAACCGTGTTTATGGAAGACAATTTTACTCAGCTAGTGAGTGATTGCCAAAGAATAAGAAGGAGGGTGTGTTGTGTGCTAAACTGCCCCTTAGATTGGGCTGTTGGGGTTGCTTTGAAGCCTCTTTTCCCCCCCTCCCATCCCTTCCCTATATCCCTTCTAGATCAGTCCAACGCCCCAAGCAACAGGCAGAGGGCCTTCTCAGTGGTGGCACCTGCCCTGTGGAACGCCCTCCCAGCAGATGTCAAAGAGAACAACAACTACCAGACTTTTAGAAGACATCTGAAGGCAGCCCTGTTTAGGGAAGCTTTTAATGTTTGATGCACTACTGTATTTTAATATTTTGTTGGAAGCCACCCAGAGTGGCTGGGGAAGCCCAGCCAGATGGGCGGGGTATAAATAAATTATTATTATTATTATTATTATTATTATTATTATTACCTAGGAATCTAGATAGATGGCCTCCTGTTCTTATGAATCGGGTTTCCTTGCCTGCCGTCTCCAACGACGGTTTGGTTCAGTGGCTGCTGGGGGCGGGGGGGGGCAGATGGGATCCTGCTCTGCTGTGGTCTCCCTGCGTGACATCCCTGTCCCACTTCACTTCCCCACCTGTAAAATGGGAACAGGGTGGAGCTTCCTCAGTCGTGTGGCTGCGTTGGGGGCGGCAGTCTCTGTCGGGCTTTTTGCAGCACCAACCAGACCAGCAAACTCTGCCCCCCACCCTTGCACAGATGTGGGTCTCCCCTCAATTTCTGCTTCTGGTGAGAGGAGGGGGAAACCCCTGTTTCTCCCCCATGCAGAGAGCACTTTCTGAAATGGCGCCTCCGTGCTTCCTTGCCACAGGTGCGAAGTTGCGCAGCCGCTGCAGCCTGCTCTGCGTTGCGCATGCTGGATTTGCAGGAGGCCCTGCGCACGGGTCACATCCCTCCTGGTGCTCGGCCTGCGCAAGAAAAGGAGGTCAGTTCCTGGGCAGAGCGGAAAGGGGAAGGAAGGAAGGAAGAGTTGTGGCCACAAGTGCGTGATTTACAGCCGCGGAGGGTGATGACTATTCACCATCACAATACGGGAGAGTTGTGAACTTGCCCATTGTGGGTCCCTTGTGTCAGCTTGGATTTCTCCCTGCTCTGCCCCTCCCCAGGTGTCCCTTGCGGAAGAGTGTGGGGCCGGCCCCACTTTGCATGCCGCTCTGTGTGGGTGGGTCGAGGGTGCTATTTTGGGAGAGCCCGTCCTTCGCGGGGACATGGGCCTCCAGGAGGCAGGAGGAAGCCCTTGTTCCTGGCTGCCTCGTGTCGCTGCCCCCCCCGCCAAGTCCCTCCCTCTGCGCCACGTGGGTGGCTCCGTGGGGCAGGGCGACGGCTTCCGTGGGGCTGGGTCAGCCCAGAGGCCCGTCTGCTCCAACCAGATTCTTCTTCACTGCGTTATTCCTGGCGGTAGGATTTGGAGAGTTGCCCTTTTTAAAACCTGCCATTTCTGAATGGCTCTCTCTCTGCTCCTTACGACAACTTTGCAAGGTAGGCCAGTGCTATCTGTGTTGCGCAGGCAGGACCGGGTTCACGGCTGATTGTGGGCTTTGGGGTCCTTTAACCGCTGGGCTGCATGTGCCCGGTTGATTCTGCGGCTGGCATTTGGGTGAAGGGCCTGACTTGGCCCTTGGATGGTTGCGACAGGCAGCTCATTGAAAGCCAGCTTTCGGTTTGCTGGGTCATAAGATGGGCTGCTCCTAGAATTGAAAGGGACCCCGAGGGTCATCTAGTCCAACCCCCCTGTTGCAGGAATCTCTAGTGAAGCATCCCTGACAGATGACCGTGTTAAAAAATTTCCAGTGTTGGAAAGTCCGCCACCCTCAATAGTAGATGGTTGGCAGGTGCCTGACAGAGGTGGCAAAGTTCCCGTTGGGAGGACTAGTAACTGGGTCCGTTGCTGTAGCAACTGTCCGTGACCCCCCATTCAGCCGGGAAGTCCGTTCTGTCGTGTTTGGGTCTGGGTGCGTCTTAGATGGGGTGCTCGTCCAGTGAGCAAGACCGAGGACAAGGCTCTGAGGTGGCGCCGCTGTTGACGCTCCCCCCCCCCAATAAAAGAAGTCTGCTGTGATACTCACCTACTTCTTGCCTCGTGTCGCCCTAGGAGAGTGGGAAGAGAGAGATGCTGCTGTTTTGTACCTCTGGATTAACTTGACCTCACTTGTGGGAGAATCGGGTGTGTGTGTGTAATACTCTGTGTATGCAATGACAATCTTGAGTTGCTATTGGCAGGCAACCCCACTTTTTGGGGTGCCCTGTTCCCTCAAACAGCCACTTTCGGCCAAATACAGAGGGCAGGATCCCCCCCACCTTGTTTTTTGCCTTTTGGCTGTGAAGGAAGGGGAGGGTGGACGCTCACAGGAGAGGAGGGAATGCCTCCCTCTGTTGCCAAGGCAACCAGGCTGATGAGGATGGGGGGGTGATGCTCATGGTCCTTGCCTTTCCTTCCTGGTGGCCAGTGGAGCCTCCAGCGCAGCAACAGGAAGCTGGGAGCTGCCAACCTTGTTGCCTTGGCAACAGGCATCCCTTCTTCTCCCTCTTTTGTTTGCCCGCAGTGATGTTGCCTGGTGGCCCGCTCAGATTGGCTACCTGACTCCGTGGAGGGGTTGCCTTCGTGGTGTGGCCCCGATTGGCTACAATCACGGGGGGGGGGGGAGGAGAGAGGAGAAACTGATACCCGGAATTTAAAAAAAACTGGTACCCAGAGTTGTGTGTCTGCCTGAGGAGCACAGGACCGCTGCAGTCCTTCCCCAAAAGCCACAATGGTGATGCTCTGCCTGCGTGATCAAAATCCCAGTTTCTGGAAGCCACAAGAGAGCAGAGTTTTGCTCATGTGCTCGAATCCTGCTCAAGGGTTTCCCCAAATGGGCGTCTGCGAGAACAGGATGCTGGACTAGGTGGGACTGATCCAGCAGACGCCCCTTATGTTCTTGAAGAGGCTTCAGATGTCTGGCTACGCCGCTCAGACCAGGCCTCTGAGTGGTGGCAGCCTTGTCAGTCTTTGGGTCCCTCCTGGAAAGGCCATTTGAAGCATCCTTTGCCCCCCACCCCCCGGCAGAAGCCCATTTGGCACCGGGGGGGGGGGGGAGTAGAGACTTTGGCTGCACCAAATGGCTTATTGCCTCGTAAGGTCAACCCACTTGGAATCAAAGGGAAGCGAATTTAAGAGCAGGAGGCAAATGGCGGTGGGTGAAAAGAGGCGTCAGAGGGCCCCCCAAGAACATTGCCTGTTAACATGTTCCTTTCCTGTCTCACTTGGGTGCTAGTCCTGGGGGGGGGCGAAGGGGTGCCCTCTCCCTTTCTCTGCTCCCTGTCCGCATCTCTGCACTTGCAATGGAACCAGATTTATTTCTTCCTCCGCCGGTGAGGCAAGGCCTGCAAATCCCGACCAGTTTCTTCAAGGGGGTGCCAACTGGGGGCTGTCCAGCAGCTTGTGGGGAGAGGGCAAAAAGGGGGGCAGGAAAGAGTTTCAGAGACAAACGAGCAGCAAAGTGGAGGTGGGAGATTCTTCTTCTCCCCTGAGCTCTGCTTCAGTCAAAAACCTGATTTAAAGAAGTCGGTTCGGGACAAAAGGCGTAACTTCTTTGCGCAAGGCAAGTGTGCTCTTCGTAACAACATCATGCCGGAGAGGACTCCTCAAGAGTTGCTGGCTGTGGGCTTCTGTCCCGAACCCACAGAGCTCTCCTCTCCCTTCCCTTCTATTCTCACAACAGCCCAGTGAGGTAGTTCGGCGAATGAGAAATGAGGACTGGCCCCAGATCATCCAGTGAGCTTCCTGGCGGAGTCGGGATTTGAACCCTGCTCTCCCAGGCACACTCTGCATCCTCTTTCCGGCAGGTGCTTGTGGGAAACGAGTTTTGCAGGTGGTTTTGTGCCTGTGTGTAGAAAAGCTCCCCAAACATCTTTGACCAGCGGCCTCAGCCAATCTCGGAAGGTGCTGGACTCACCTTCATCTGAATTTTTTAACCTGTTGGGGATTCTTCAGTTGCAATTCCTGCCTTGCAGGGGGTTGGACTCTGTGACCCTGGGGGTCAACCCTATAATTCTCTGATTCTATAAATGCCCCTATTTCCCCATGCACAATGATGGCTCTGCCGAAAAGTCGTTCTCTCTCCCGCAAATCTCTTGGCTGCCTTTGTTTTAGGGTTAGGCAGAAAACGTCATAAACGTTTAGAGACAATTGGAAAACGTTATTGAATAGATGGGGGGGGATTGTGCCCACCTGAAAACGTTGGCAGCATTCAGATAAATTCAGCAGTGCAAATAAGTTTTGACGGATGCAATAATGGAATACTGAATGGTTTAGTTTTTGTAAAATATTCGGGGATTTGTGATATGCAAAATGAACCATGGAAAGAGAAGAAGGGAAGTCATATTTTGAGAATGTTTAAATGAGTATTTTAAATGGTAAAACGGAAAAGTTAACAAAAATTGTGTGTGTGTGTGTTGTGTGTATGAAAGCATCATACACCTGAAGTGCATTTTTCAAAAAAAGGAAATGTGAATTTTGTGAATTCTCACCTACAGCGATTTGCTACTTCTCTGGTCCCTGTTTGCCTGAAGTTGGCTCCCCCCCCTTCCTCCCTCCCAGGCTGTCAGTCAAGGGTCATTCCTTTGGAGGGTCTTGGACGATGTCCCTCCCTGCCCAAGACCCCTCCCTCGACCTGGAGGGTGCGAAGAAGCGTCTCACGCCTTTTGTCCCCGCTTTTGTCTTGCCCTTTCCCCTTCCAGGTGGAGAGCGCAGAAGCCCCCAAAGACACGGCCTCAGCGCCCAAGTGCCCCCCGCCTGCCCACAGCACCAGCCCCGTGGAGCAAGTGCCCAATGGAGACGTGGGAACGGGCAGCCCCAAGAACAGCGGCAGCACCCCCACCGACCTGAAGGGCCGGCAGCCCAGCGAGGACGAGGCCAGCAGCCTCCCGGAGGGCGAGGTGGGGGGGCGGGCCTTGGAGAACGGCCGCTGCACCCCAAAGGACAGCCCCGACCCCCCTGCCAGCGAAGGTGAGATGGGGACGTGGGAAGGGTCTTCGGTTGGGGCTCTTGCCACACTGCAAGCGAGGGGCAGGGGGTGGCTAGTCAGTGTAGGGGGGAGGTCAGGCTCTGGGGGGTGGAAATGAGGCTCAGTCAAGGGGTCACTTACCTTTAAGGAACCTCACAGTTGCCCCCTTTCCACATTCAGTCCAAACATAACCTTTCTTCCCGAAGGAAACAGTGCTGCAACCTTGCAAACGAATTCCGTCTGTGGGCAGGGCTGATTGGCTAGCGCCGGTGACACCCCCAATATCCCTTTTGCAATTATAACCCCCCCTCCCCCAGCATCCTTCACTGTAAGGCGCAGAATGAACATGCATGTGCTTTAAGAAATCACTTTGTAATGGTGAGGCGCCTGAGAGGGGCAGGCCTGATGCTGCAGATGGCATTCGATTCACTGGAGTGTGCATCTGTTTCTCGTATGCGGAAGCCGGGTTTGCTCTGCTGCCCCTTTGGGAGTCCCTTGAAGGCTGTGCCCTATTTCCTTCTCAGCTGCTCAGACCAAGGAGGGTGGCCCAGAATCATAGAATTGGAAGGGGACCCCCAAAGGTCATCCAGCCCAACCCCTGCAATGCAGGAATTCTGACTTGGTAGCTCATGTAGCTCTGCCTTCACCAACCTGGTGCCCTGTTGGCCCCTGCCAGCCTGGCTGTGTAGCGAAAGCTACAGACCGAAAGATCTAGAGGGCACAAGGTTGGCAAAGGTTGCCTCCTTTATTCCTGCCTTGCAGGGGGTTGGTCTAGATGCCCCTCAGGGTCCCTTCCAACTCTGCAATTCTGTGATTGTACGATGTGTGCCTGGTTATGCCAGCTATGTGGGTGGTGGACTAAGGGTCGCCTGGGAGGCTGGTGAGATGATGCTCTTGGCTGCTGGACCCCCGCAATGGGAAGGGCTATTGTGCAGAGACAGTGTGGTGTAGTGGTTAGTGTGTCTGACTAGGACCTGGGAGACACCAGGGTTCAAATCTGGGTGTGGCCCTGCCTCTCAGCCTGACCTCCCTCACAGGGTTGTTGTGAGGATTCAGTGAGAAGAGAAAGAACCAAGGATCTTCAGCTCTCTGGAGAAAAGGTGGGACCTGTGTGGTGATAAATAAAGAGAATGGACTCCCGTAACACACACTTCCTAAACTCTTGAGTCAGGAAATCTCTCTACCGTCTTCCAAAAAAGCTCTCTCTGCAGTCGACTAGGCTGCCCACGTCCATAGGTGGCTCCAGGATCCGGCCTGCAGCTGCCAGGGCCAGCCTGGCTGCTGGGTGGCTCTGCCCGTTGGCTTGGGCGAGGGAGAGCAGCTGCCAGGGCAGCCACCGGCTCAGAAGCCCACAAAGCAGGCAGCCAAATGGGGCTGTGGTTTGGGTTGCCGGCCAGAAGAGCTGCCTTCAGAGGTGTTGACAAGTTGTGTGTGTGAGAGAGAGCGAGAGAGCGAGCGAGAGAGAGAGCGCACAAAGGAGGCAGAGGCAGCCCAAGGTGTTGGAGGGAGTGAAATGAGAGAGGGAGAGAAACAAGACGGCCATGGAGGCTACGGGCCAGGATGAGCTATTGCTCTGGCTCCACAGTCCGAGGCGGCCATGATTCTGAATCCCACTTGCTGGAAACCACAGGAGCCGGGAGTGATGCTCTTGTGGTCGGATCCGGCTTGCAGGTTTCCCATGGAAGGTCGGACAAGGGGGCCCATTGGCCTGATCCAGGAGCCAGTCTCTTCCGATGCTTCCATGCGTCCATGCGCACCGCCTTGCCCTCCCGATTGAGGAGGCCCTGGGCCACACAGCGTCGGGACACCCTGCGATGGGCTCGTGCCATGCGCCCATGCCCCACGGCGTGCTGGCGTCGCTTGCGGCTTGTGTGCATGATGCGAGCCCGCCCCACGGCTGCCATGGAACTTTGAGGGGCCAGCCTCTTCACTGATAATTTTCTGGGGGCTCCAGCTCCCTGGCCCCACCGTACTTGGCGCCCCTGTGCACATTGGCGCGACCCATCGGGGTGCTCTCTTGCGCAAGCACTGGCTGAAGAGTGGGGAAGTTTTCTATGTGCAATGTTTTACTGTGGTTTTATAATATGATGGAAGCTGCCCAGAGTGGCTGGGGCAACCTGCCAGATGGGTGGCATATAAATAATAATTAATAATAATAATAATAATAATAATAATAATAAATTTCCCGCCTGCTCCCTCCCTCCCAGGCAAGTCCCTGAAATACATGGGAGCCCCCTGCCCCCCCTTAGTGTGGGGTTTGTGCCCTATGGGTGAAATCTGCCCATCTCCCCCGCCTGGCAGCCTTTCAGAGTGCCCAAAGTTGTGTCCTGAGGAAGGGGCAGCAGAACAGTGACGTGAGCCCTTTTGGGCAGGAGGCAGCAGGATCCTTCCCAGGAGGGTCTACGCCCCCTCCTGCCTGCCTGAGGAATTCCTCCTGCCCCAGAAATCCGGGGTGGGGGGGACTTTTTCCAGGGCGGTGGAGGAGAATGGCAGAGTCCTCGTTCCACGTTCCCAGGCAGCTTAGGTTTCCTGCTGGCAGGGAGCCTGCGAGGGGAGGGGTCTTCCTCTGCCGCTGTGCCAGGATTGTTCCTTGGGAGGGGGCCTCCTCCCGGCCAAGGCTTGGCCAGATGGAAATTCTGGAAGCCAGGGACCCTCGGAGGAAGGAGGCGGCCGCCAGCAGCCCCGGAGTTGTTGCTGAGCTGGCCAGGGATTTATTTGGGGAGGGCAGGAGCAGAGAGGCTTTTGTCCCCTCCCCAACCTCCTGACTTTGGGACCCCAGAGCGTCCGGCCTGGGCATCCCAGGTCCAGAAGATACTGGTTGGGGCCAGGGAGGCAGCTTCCGAAAGGCTGTGTGTCCCCATCGAGGAGGAGCAAAACGCCAACATTTCCCAGATCTTTGGAGGGACCCAAAAGGGGGAAAGGAATAGTCTGTGTTTGGGGTGTGTTGCACAACAGATAAGACACGTAGATATCATAAAAACCCAAATTTTAATGAGCCAAAAAGAGGGTGAACAGGCTCTTTCTCCAGCAAGTGGAGCAGCGGAAGAGAGCCCAGCTGGATCTGGCCAGCCCATGGGGCCCAATCCACCTGGCGTCTCCTAGCATGAACCGAGCCGCACTCTTATAGGAGAACTTCTGTGCAGAGTGTCAAGGTGTTGGGGGGGGCAGCTGCCCTGAATTTCCCCCTGCGCATTGTGGGAATTTGGGATGGATAAAAGAAAGTCCTTATTCACACAGCACATAGTTAGGGTTCCGTCCTCTCCCCCATGCTTTTCGACATCTATATGTAGCTGCTGGGAGAGATCATAGAATCATAGAATCATAGAGTTGGAAGAGACCACAAGGGCCATCGAGTCCAACCCCCTGCCAAGCAGGAAACACCATCAGAGCACTCCTGACATATGGTTGTCAAGCCTCTGCTTAAAGAACGCCAAAGAAGGAGGCTCCACCACATCAGATCATCAGGGGGTTTGGACTGGGTGTCCATCAATATGCGGATGACACCCAGCTCTACCTCTCTTTCAAATCGGAACCAGTGAAGGCGGTGAAGGTCCTGTGTGAGTGACTGGAGGCGGTTGGAGGATGGATGGCGGCTAATGGATTGAGGTTGAATCAGCAGAAGTACTGTTTTGGGGGGACAGGGAGCGGGTGGGTGTGGGGGTCTCCCTGGTCCTGAATGGGGTAACTATGCCCCTGAAGGACCAGGTGCGCAGCCTGGGAGTCATTCTGGACCCACAGCTGTCCATGGAGGCACAGGTTAATTCTGTGTCCAGGGCAGCTGTTTACCAGCTCCATCTGGTATGCAGGATGAGACCCTACCTGCCCGCAGACTGTCTGGCCAGAGTGGTGCATGCTCTGGTTATCTCTCGCTTGGACTACTTCAACGCGCTCTACGTGGGGCTACCTTTGAAGGTGACCTGGAAACTGCAATTAATCCAGAATGCGGCAGCGAGACTGGTGACTGGGAGCAGCAGTCAAGACCATATAACACCGGTCTTGAAAGACCTATATTGGCTCCCAGTACGTTTCCGAGCACAATTCAAAGTGTTGGTGCTGACCTTGAAAGCCCTAAACGACCTCAAAGGCCCAGTATACCTGAAGGAGCATCTCCACCCCCATCATTCTGCCCAGACACTGAGGTCCAGCTCTGAGGGCCTTCTGGCGGTTCCCTCATTGCGAGAAGCCAAGTTACAGGGAACCAGGCAGAGGGCCTTCTTGGTGGTGGCGCCCTCCCTGTGGAACGCCCTCCCACCAGATGTCAAGGAGATAAACAACTATCTGACATTCAGAAGACATCTGAAGGCAGCCCTGTTCAGGGAAGCTTTTAATGTGTGACACTTTAATGTATTTTTAATCTTTGTTGGAAGCCGCCCAGAGTGGCTGGGGAAACCCAGCCAGATGGGTGGGGTACAAATAATAAATTATTATAGTTAGACGGTGGAACTCCCTCCCACAAGAGGCTGTGAGGGCCACCAACGTGAATGGTCTTAAAAAGAAGTTTGGAAAAAATTCATGGAGGAGGAGGAGAGGGCTGTGGAGGCAGCAACACTTGTGAATCCTGGATCCTGGAAACCGGCAGAGGGGAGAGTTTTGTTCTTGCGCTCAGATCCCTTCTTGCACCCTTTGGGGCATGTGGGGTGAGAATGGGAAGACTGGCGTGATACAGCTGCTTCTAATGGAGCCTCCAGGCCCAGAGGCAGTCTACCTGGACTCCTAGGTCCTTGGGACCATGTTGCCGCTGTGAGAACAGGACGGGCTCTTGCCCTGATCCACCGGGGCGGTTTTTGTGATCTTACGTTCTCATCGCTGCCGTCTCTCCGCCCCCCCCCCTGTTCCCACACGGCTTGTGCGTTCGTCCTTCCTGACACCCCACTACCACCACCACCGCCTCGCAGAGGTGCTCTCTTCCGCTGCCCCCCGCCCACACCCAAATTTCAGGCTGGGTGCTATTTTTAAGCTGAGCTGCGGCCTCTGTTACCTGCGAGGAAGACGACACAGGAAGCTGGCGGCTCTCATGGAGGGAGGGGGCGCGGAGAATGCAGAGGCTGAGCCAACGCTTGACCCCCTTCGGTTCCTGTTTGGCATATCCTGTCCCCTGCAGGCGTCAGGCACCCCCCCATTGGCTTTCAGGGGGCTTCTCCCCATTCTCTCTCCCCCCCCCCCGCTTCTCTGGGGCTTCTCCCCACTCGCTTTGAGGAAGGGGCACCCTTGGCCACGTAGCCAGAAAGAGTGTGGCAAAGACACCAGCCTGATCTCAACTGGCAGGGAGTTCCACAGGGCAGCTGCTGCCACACCAAAATAGCGCTTTCTTACAAATGTGGAATGGGTATCATGCAGTGCCAGTTCTGCAGATTGAAGCGGTCGATAGGCATAATAATAATAATAATAATAATAATAATAATAATAATAATAAATTTTATTTATACCCCGCCCTCCCCGGCCAGAGCTGAGCTCAGGGTGGCTAACACCAATAAAATCACAGTAAAAAACATGTTTGGGGTGGGGAAACCAATTTAAAATGCAGGTTAAAATGCAATTTAAAATTCAGCCTCATTTTAAAAGTAGCCGATAAATCAAGACCATAAGGGGAGGGAAACATAAGGGTCAGACGGAGTCCAAACCAAAGGCCAGGCAGAACAGCTTTTATATATAAGATGTAAAGCGATATTGTTAAGAGGGGACACACACCCGGGACGCAAGAAACCAGGTAGAACCTTCAAGGAGTTGCCTTTGCCAAGCAGAATGAGCTGGCCGCTTATCCCTCGCCCCAGGAGTGCCAGCTTGGCAACTTGACCACGGATGCCTGGAGCCGTGGGTGCCATGCGGTGTTCGTGACCCTGGCACTGAAATTTGTGGGTGTCTGGGCCCTTTGTGGGCAGTTTTGTGGGTACCCGGGCACCCAGGGCCCCAGGAAGTTGGCACCACTGCCTCTTCGCCCAAGCTGGTTTGGACTACAACTCCCATCAGCCCTTGCCAGCGCAGTGAGGTGGGGGGAAGGTTGGGGGGGCATGAGAGGGGCACCCAAATTGTTTCTGCAGGCGACTAAAACAAGCCTGTGATCTGTATGCACAGAAATGGAAAGGAGGCGAGGGATGGATTTTGAGGTGAATGGTGAGATCGACGGCCAAAATAAGGGACCAGAATGAAGGAAAGTCGATGGAAGAATGGAAATTCCTACCGGACTATTTTAAAAAACTGCTCTAGCCAAATGAAATCGTGAGCAGGTCTTGAAGTATAAGCAATGAAAGGACAGGAAGAACATCAAAGCAGTTTTGGGAAACAATATATAAATGAAATGAAAAAATGTTCAGATATTCATTTAGGAAAACACCAGAAGGTTTTCTATTGGGAATAGTACCAGGAAGTCTAAAGGAAGAAGACAAGACATTATATTTACATGCAACAGTAGCCGCAAGGCTATTGATTGCGAAAAATTGGAAAAGTGGTATAATACAGATGAAAACAGAGTGGCTTGCCAAATTATTGGAGTATTACAAAACAATGGGAGAAATTGGAAGGATCTCAAAAGAGAAGATAGACAAGGACTGGAAGGTGTTTAAAGGATACTTGCAAAATCATATCGAAAAATCAGAACTATTAGAATAAACATGTTCCGTTATAAATACTGAAATGCTAAATAAGATGGATAACAAGGTGTAACAGGAAAAGTTGGTTTAAAAGTGTGTGAAAGAAAGTAATAGAAGTGGAAAGAAATTGCAATTGAGTAGATTGGAAGTCAAAAGGAAGTATCTGTGGGATTGAGTGGGGGTATGTAGGAATATTTTTAAGAACTGTATGAAATGTATGTTTTGTATATTTGTAATATGTATGTATTAATGTTGAATTATTTTAATAATAAAATTTATTTAATTTAAAAAAAAGGATAGGAAGAAGAAAGCAAATAAAGAAATGTATCTTAGAATAAGTATTGAATACAAGGCAGCAGGAAATTGTTTGGGGGGGGAACATCGCGAATGTTAAGATGGGAAGTCGAATTGTTAGGAGAAGTGTATAAACTGGATTTTGTGCTAAGTTTTTAAATCCAGTAACAATTTAAATGTGCAAAACGAGAGCGGAGGACCCTGGCCGTGAGGGGTGGTGCCACCAGACCCAGCGCAGGCACAACGCCCTCCTTTGCGTGGGGGCACATGACCCCTACCAAAGGACCCGCATGGCCCAGACTTCTCCCCCCGGCCCTTCAGGGATCCTGGCACTCACTCTGTTCACTCTCTGTTTCCAGGCAAAGAAGAGAAGGAGGAAAACCACTACAACTCCCTCAAAATGGAGGCAAGTATTTTCCACACAGCTGGGCTCTTTTTTGGGGGGGGAGCAGCTTCCAGGGCCCCCACGCTGGAGCATTGCTTGCTTAGAGTGCGAGTCCTGCTGCGCTCTGTCAGGGACGCTTGGATTAAAGCCCCCACCAGAGCCCATGGGTGGGGACTAAGGGGGCTGCCCAAATCACCCCTCTCCTGATGCAGAGCATATACTCTTTAGCCGAAAATGGATCATAGAATGACCAGGAATAAAACAGTCCCGGTCTGAAAGGTGTGACACACAAGGAAAAACGGGATGAGGAGGGTAGAGGAAAACAGCAGGCTCATGTTCCTGTACTTAAAGCTGCAGCTCTGATCTTGACTGGCTGGGGGGGGGTACATATTTTTATTTTCCCCTTCCGACAGAGCCCTATAAATTCAATTTTTTTCCAGTCTAAGCAATGCACTTTGCGATACATAATTTTTATCTCCATTAATAATTGTTAATACTTTTTGTATATACGTTTCAACACAACTTTTTGAATGTATTCAGAAACATTTGTCCGAGTCTTTTTGTTTTGTTTTTACTTTTAATGTAATTGTTTCAAGTATTGGGGTTCAGTGTAAACTGAGATATATCTCTGAACCGTGTGCAACCCGCCCTGTGGAACGCCCTCCCACCAGATGTCAAAGAGAAAAACAACTACCAGACTTTTAGAAGACATCTGAAGGCAGCCCTGTTTAAGGAAGCTTTTAATGTTTGACGGACTATTGTATTTTAATATTCTGTTGGAAGCCGCCCAGAGTGGCTGGGGAAACCCAGCCAGATGGGCGGGGTATAAATGATAAATTATTATTATTATTATTGAAGAAACGGAATGAAAACGGCCTTGTCCCCCCAAAATAAAAGCAATGCTTTTCTGAAGGCCACCTTTTGGAAATAAGTTGGAGTTCTTGTTAATAAATATACCAAGAAAAAAGCACTGTAAGTTTCAATAATGGGAGTGGTCCCGCCTCACAAATCAATAGTCAATAGTAGCAAAAACTAATCCATTCAAAAGTATTGGCTATAGATTTGTGAGGAGGGACCCCTCCCACTATTGAAACTTGCATTGGCCAGAGTTCTTGGTGTGCTTTTTTCCTGGAAATGGCAGGAGGGCAGAGCGGGTCTGGCGCTCGGGGCAACGGCTGAGATGGGAATCCGGCCCGATCCGGCGATCCCTTCTGACTCTCCTCTCCCTGCGCAGGGATCCCGCGGCCGCCTGCGAGGAGGAGGCCTGGGCTGCGAGTCGAGCCTTCGCCCCCGGCCGATGCCGCGCTTGACCTTCCAGGCGGGGGACCCCTACTACATCAGCAAGAGGAAGCGGGACGAGTGGCTGGCGCGCTGGAAGCGGGAGGTGAGACTGGACGCCCCGGGTCCCGGGGTGGAGGCGTCCTGGGTGGGGCCCCCCTCTGCCCCCCTCCCCACGGGCCCTCAGCTCTCCCTGGGGGCCCCTCTTGGCTCCTCCAGGGTGGTCAGTGTGAATTCTGCCGCTTCTGCCTCCCAATGTCCAGGCACAAATAAGGTGGACCCCACGCCCAATATTTCTCAGGGGTCTCAAGATGCGCTCTGGGGGTGTTGGCCTTGGGCTGGTTCTGGGGTTTTCCAAGATGCTATTGCGGGGGGGGTTATGCTTTCCAGGTGATGGCTTGCTCTGTCAGCCCCCCATCGCAGAGAATGTGGGGGGTTCGGTCTGCAAGGGGGGCAGCACAGGAAGCTGCCTCATTCAGGTCCTTGGTCCATCTTGATCAGTATTGTCTGCACTGACCAGCAGCGACTCTCCAGGAGTCTCTCCCAGCCCTGCCTGGAGATGCTGCCGGCGGGGCTTGACCTGGTTGCAGGAGAGGTGTTTCCCACCACTGAACTACGGCTCTTCCCCATAGCACTTTCTGCCCCAGAGATGGGAGAGGGAGACTTTGCCAGAGCAAACCACCCCTCTTGCCTGCACAGCGGACATCTAGGGGTCCACAGGGGAGCCATTTTTGTTCCACCCCCAAATTACAGTTCTCACAATCATCTCGTCCAACCCCGTGCATTTTAGGGGGTTGGACTAGATGACCGCAGGGGCCCTTTTTCTACTCTACGATTCTGTGATCCAGTTGTGTTTGGGGGAGGGGGGAAGAAGCCACGCTGCGCCTGCCCCAGAGAAGGTTGGGGCCTTGGTGGGGCTCTGCCTCTTGGTCCTGCCCCGGGCCAAGGTGGCGGTGCATTGGAGGCCATGCAAGGCAGGAGTGAGTAGTGGTCGGAGCGGCTGCTTTGGGGTGGCAGCGGGAAAGGGTGGCCGTTGAGCAGAGCAGGGGGGTCAGTGCTGCTGGGTGCTTGGTGGGGGTCACTGAGAGGGGGGTCCCGTGTGTGTGCAGTGGACGGTGGGGGGGGGTCAAGAGTGCCAGTCTAGGCTGCCCCAGGGGCATTGCTGGGTCTCTCTGGCACTCCCCTTCCTCTCCTAGCCCAGAATGGGCTGCAGAATGTCTCCCATTGCACAGGATTCTAGAGTTGGAAGGGAACCCAAAGGTCCTGTAGTCTAACCCCCTGCAATGTTGCTTTGCTGCTTGGGGAAATGTGGGGAGGGGGTCTTCATTTTCCTAGCACACCCCCCTTTCCCTTGTGTTCTCATTCCAAGGAGAAATGGGCAATATCTCTTGGCTCCCCAAATCCCTTTTCTGCCTTCTTCCCACATTTGAGGGTCTTCCGTAGCCCCAGGGAGAGACTGGGGGGGCCGGCTGGGAGAATTTGAGGGTCTCTGCTCTCCCTCTGTCTTCTCTGCGCCAGGCATGGCTATGTGTCTAGGGCAAGAGGGGGGCTGGCCGCGTGCCTGGGGGGAAGCTGGATGCGGGGGGAGGAACTTGGCATCCTGGCTAGCTCAGCTTCCGCTGTTTAAAGAGGCAACTTTCTAGTCCTCAAGAGAGTCAGGAGCGGCTTGAAAGTGTAGAGTAAGTCTCAGGCCTTCTTGGGGACGGAGCAGCTTCTCAGTTGACCAGGTTGGGGGGGGGTCAGAGCCCTCCCTCTAATTAGCAGGATATAATTATGCAAATCATATGTAAGTCTTCATACTTTTACATAGCTTGCAGCATTCAGTTTTGCTTGGCACGTATCTTTTTTTTTTTAATGTGTGGTTATCTACTTATAGATTTCATTTCCTTGCCTAATATTTCCCCCCTCCTTCACCCGTCTGCTTTCTGAGGCAGCCGTTTAGCAGATCCCTGTGCTCAGCCAGGCATTGAAGTGTCTCACAATTCCACCCCCCCCAAAAAAAACTACGCTCAATCTTTTATGGGAATCTTGGGCCTGAGAGATCTGGGCGATTTTGGTCGGGCCGCCATGGCCTCCAGTGGCAGCGAGTTCCACCGTTTCACCATGTGCTTGGGAAAGTCCACCTGGAATACCCTTCCCTCTTGGTCCCCCTTGTTGGCATCACACCCCCCCCCCATCTTCTGCCTCTCCACAGCCTTCCACATGTTCGGGTCCAGCTCCCTGTAGGTCTGCCATGAACAGAGCCCCCCCTGGTTTTCCTTCCCTCGTTCCATGACTTTGCCCGCTCCTGGGCGCATCTGGCTGGGTGCGCGCACATGCCGTCCATCAAACGGTCTGGCGTTCAGGAAGGGCACACATCCAGCGTGGGCACAGGTTCATGAGATGTGAGGCTGCGCACTTGCAAAAATGCATCGCTGCAGATGTTCCGCAGATGCTTTGAACTGTGCAAAGACATAGGAAGGGCCCTGGTGGTGTTTGCAGGGGGGGGGCACAGGGTTCAGGCGATGATGGGCTGCACTGGGAACTCCCACACCCTATTTTCCTTCCATGTTTAGGATCACTGTGGCCACTTCTGTTTGTGTAACTAGAATAATAGAACTGGCAAGGACCCACAACTCTTGGTTCAAATAATAATAATTAGGGAGTTAGAGAGGTGGCTTTTATCGCTAAGCCTTTGCAGCATCTCTGTGAGCTAGTGGCATCCTCCTTCCCAGCATGCTTTGCTGTGCCCTGGTACCCTGGTCTGGCTGCAAAGCATTATGGGTTGGCATCCTCGAGGCTGGCGCAGCGTAGGACGTCCTGAGCAAGGACGGGACTGGGGCAGAAGGTGCTCCAATACTGAATATTCGTATACCAATCCCCCCTGCATTTATTATGGTTCATGCCAATAAAAACTCACAGCCACGGAAAGAAGTTAGAAACAGACGTCAAGTAGCCGTTGGGCAAGGATGGCGCTCTTAATTCCCTGCTTAAGTCAAGAGGGAACCGAAAAGTTTCCAGTAGGTGTGTAAAAAGCCAGCGCAGAAGGCGCTTGCTGCGTCTCCAGTGGCAGGGAGTTCCACAGGACTAAAGGCTTGGCTTCTCAGGGAACAACCCACGGTGCTCCTGCAGATGATCTCAGGCTGGCCTGGGGCAAAAGGGCGAGGACCTCAGTCGCTCCGGCTTTGCTCCTGCCTTAGGTGAACTGGCACCAGCCAAGCTGCGCCCCCCATCCTCCCCCCCCGTGTGCCCCCCTCCTGTGCCTGCCTGTGGGGCAGCGGCAGTCGCGTCCTCTTGCTGTGGCTCTGTGTGTGCTAACTCCCTCCTCTCCTTTACCTTTCTCCCACAGACTGATAACCCAGCGGCAGCTCAGCTCGACAAGGTTCGTGGCCCACCTTTGGGGTTTTGCGGGGAGGGGGGGCGGCTTGTCTCATGTGGACCCCGTGCCGGGGCTTGTGGGTTTGCCGGGGGGGCTGTGGGTGTGCCCACGCCCTCCCCCTGCGTCTGCCCGCTGCCAGGGAGCGCCCCTTCCTCCTCACACACAGACGCCCAGGGCATCGTTTTCGAAAGATGGGGGCAAGGGTGGGGGCACCCTTTCGCTGCTGGCCCCTAAACCCCCCCCCACACACACACAATCTCCTCTCTCTCCTCCTCCTCCTCCTCCTCGCACGCCCAGAACCTCTTTTGCCCCAGAGCTACATCACCATTGCCCGTGGGCACCAGGCTGGCACCTAGGCCCCCACCCCAGCCGCCAGGCAAGCCACCCTCTGGGGGTTGGGGTGCTTCGTAAAAATTATTATCATTATTTGTTGAATCTGTGAGTCGCTTTATCGGGCCCGGGGCAAGCCAGGGTGGCGTAAGACCCAGCAATCGCCTTTAAATTGCGGGGGAACACGTCCCTGTCCTGGGCAGAAGGAAATGGGGGCCTGAAAGGAATGGAAAGATAACCCGGCTCATTTCAAGATAACCCGGCTCATTTCAAGATAACCCGGCTCATTTCTGCAGCCGGGAGCTGAGAGGGCACTGAGGCCTAGTGGGCAGAGCATCCGCCTGGCACCCAGATTCAGTCCCCAGTGGCAGCATCTGCAGGTGGAGTGTTTTCTTGCCTGGAACCCTCTGCCCAGTTGGGACAGTGCCAAATCCTAAAATCCTGGAATTGTAGAGTTGGGTGGGACCCCAAGGGTCATCTAGTCCAACCCCCATAACGTGGGAATCTCGACTCGGTGGACCCGTCCTGCAAGCGAAAGGCGGCCTGCCACGTAGCTGGAAAGCCAGCAATTGGATCCACAGTTCCGTGATCTTACCAGTCCTGCCCACTCCATTCCTGGGCTGGACGCGGCCTTATTTCCCTCCTGTTAGCTGCCTGCCAGAGCTGGCAGGCTGGAACAGGTGCGTTGATAGCGATCACAGAACTGCAGAGCTGGAAGGGAACCCAAAGGCCACGCAGCCCAACCTCCTGCAGTGCGGGAATCTCAGCTAAAATCGGCTGGGCCGCTCCTTTTGCCCCTTCCCACCCCAAGGAGTCAGTGGGGCTGTGTGGGGCTCAGGATGCTTGAGAGGGCGCTGAGGCCTGCTGCTGACCTCTCCCCACCCTGTTTCCCAATGCAAGGCTTCCTTCCTGCCCGATCCTCCGCCTGGCTTCTTCCTGGAGCTTCTCCCCCTTCCAAATATGTGGTGGATGAGCTGAAAGCGAGAGAGAAAAGGGACTTTAAAGAGTTTAAGATTTTTGACACTGCTGTTTCCTGCCCCTTCTGTCATCCCGTGGATTTTCAGGTTGGGCTGGTCGGTGACTCGCACCTGGCACCCTGCCTGGCCCAGGGGGGGGGGCAGGTGGTGCAAGCAGAAGAGGTCTTCTGCTGCTGTCCAGGACCTTTGCTCCTGCTCACAGAATCCTAGTAGAGTTGGAAGGGACACCCCAGGGGTCATCTAGACCAACCCCCAGCTGGCAGGAAGCACAGCTACCTGTGACGCCGCTGGGTGCAGGGAGAGGGGGAGGGCACCCTTGGGAGGAGCCCAGGGGACTCTTTTTGCACCCAGGGGTGCCTCCAAGGCTGTTGATAGGGGGAGGCCCAGGGAGGGGCAGAGGTCAGCCAGGGCAGGGCGACGGGAGGGTGGGGGTGAGGGTGCTGCGCAGCTGTGCAGGGGGAGGACCTTTGGGATAGTCCCGGGGGGGGGGCACCTGTTGAGGGCAGGCCAGGGCTGGAGAAACATCTAGCAAAATACCCACTTGCTTCATAGGGGATCAAGGGGGCACCCCAGAGATTTGCCGAGGTTCCGCAAAAAAAAAAAAAAAAGGCTGCCCGAATGAATGGGAAAAAATCACATACATATATATACAATAATAATAAAATAACAAAATCTCTAATAATAGAGATGAAGGAGATGTGGTTTATTCTTGTTTACATTTTGAATTAGATCTATAGAATCAGCCCCCAGAGTCTGGTCCAGCCCCCACAAGGCAGGGATCTCGGCCACATCCTCCTTCCAGGGGGCTCTCAAATCTTGCGAGTGCTTTAATCCGGTCCTGGGGCAGGCCAATTTGGGATGGGCAAGGGCGGGGGAGCAGAGTTTGAGGCAGGAGATGGTGTGTGTCCCCCCCGGGACTCCGTTGTTAAAAGAACAAATTCTGGAGGCCTGAGTGGAGCGAGGGAGTGGAAATGGGGCCAAGAAGGGCGTAGGGTGGCTGGTATCTCATGGGGCAATGGCATGGACACCCCCACCCCCAGAAAAAGGGGTCTCTTGCAGCGCAGGGGCAGAAGGTGGTGCCCTGCAGTGATCTGGCAGTGCCAGGTGTTTCATCAGGGAGGGGCCCGGCTTGTGAGAGGATCTCTTAGCCTGGGGGGCTCTCCTGCCCCAACAGAAAATCACCGCCAGCTTCTCCTGGGGTTTTACCTCCATGGGAGGCCCTTGACTGAAGACTGGGTGGCTGTCTGGCAGGGATTCTTTAGCTGGCAGTGGGTTGGGCTGGATGACCTTGGGGGGTCCCTTCCAACTCTACAATTCTAGGCTTCCAAGTGGGCTAAGCTCTCCAGGAAAATCAGGCCGTGTCCCTCGCAGCCCTGCCTGCGCTCTGCACCTGCGACCCTCTGCATGCAAGCCCCTGCTCTGCGGCCCTTCCTGCCCCCCCTTCCTGAAGTGCTGTGCAAAAATGGGGGGGGAGCCTCAGCTGCAAGCACCCCCCTCCTCTGTTCTGCTTTCGCCACCTCTGCAAAGGATCCGAGGGGTCAGCTTGCGGCTGCACACTGCAGCAAAATGGCGGAAGCAGAGACCCCCTCCCCATGGCAGGCCTGCCGCAGAGCACCCACGACGGTGCCCCTGCTGCCACCCCCCCACGCCCCCCCGGGCATGCACTCGCACACAGCAGCCGCCCTGCCCTCCTCCTCCCTCCTCCCCGAATCTCCTCCGTGTCCCTGCTCTTCGCGCTGCCTCACCGCTGGGTCTCCCTAGCAACAGGTCCCCTCCTGCTCGGCCCTGGTCTATTTATAGCCTGGCAGCCCTGGCTGCTGGCATGGCGGCAGGAGGAAGGAGCCAGAGCGGTGGCAGGCACCTCCGCATCCAGATAACACGGGGCCTGCGTGGCTCAGGCACATCCTCTCACGAGGCAGCGGTGCCCAAGGGGCGGAGCAGGGGACCCCACAGTTGGGGAAGGGTCCCCGGGCTTCCTTAGCCTCGCCCAGCACCAGAGGCAGGGCTTATGGGGTGAGGGAGGGCAGGGAGCAGCCAGCGGGGGCAGAAAGGAGGAGCGTGCAGGGGGGCGACGGGCACTCCCCTGCACGGTTGCTCCTCTGCTGGTGAAAAAGCCAGGAGAATCACAGAATGGCAGAGTTGGGAGGGACACCCAGAGTCATCTAGTCTGACCCTCTGCCACGCAGGAATTGCAGCCGAAGAGGGTTTGCGCCTTGGCCAGGCCTGGTTCTTCATCCACCTTGCCCAGGTCTCTCTCCTGTCCGGCAGGCGGTCCCTTTCCCCATCCCTTTAGAGTCTTCTGGGGCCTGCAGGTGCTCTAACCACTGGGGCGCATGGCCCTTCTGATCTCCCCCACCATTGTGTGTGGGCTTTCCTTCAGGGGGCTTGGGAGGGCACACATGGAAAAGGCAGCCCAGTTTGTGCCCCCGGCATTTAAATGAGGCTCTGTTCAACTGTGAGCAGCACAGATTGGACAGCGGCAGGGACAGCAAGGAATTAATGTACAGAGGTCAGGGAGGTCTGTATTGGAGACTGGGGGGGGGTCCACTCTGCTTTGGTCTGCAGGCCATAGGTGCTTCCCCACGCGAAACTTCCTGGCATGTAGAGAGCTGGCATCTGTGGCAAAAGCGGCCTTCCCCTGACTTGCTAGATTTCATTGTGCGGGGAGATATGAGATGGAGGAGCATTTGAACCCAGGGCAGCTCCTTCTGAAGCGGCAGAGGACAGGAGAAGTCATGGCATGTGCTGTTTCTGTTGCTGGATGTTGGTAAAATGACCGAGGGCACGGATGGCGCAGGAATTCCTTGCAGGTCGGAAGTGGGAGGCCGGTCAGCATTCTGGGCTGGTCTCTCTGGGCTTGAGGGACGGCCAGAGGCGTCTCTGGAGGGTCTGGGGATTTGGGGGTCTTGCCCTGCAGCAAGTCTCTTGCCACGTGATATTTGGGGGCGGGGGGCACAGAATGTGCTGGAATGGGACAGGCAGAAGTACCCCTTCCTTCAAAAGAGACACAACACTTTGCATTCCTGAGTGTGCTAAAACTATCCACTATTCAAAGGGCTGAGGGGGGCAGATGCATTTTAAAATCACAGTTCTTTTTTTGGGGGGGGGACAGGACTTGTTGCAATGTTTCTCAGGTGGACGGGAGGCCTCTGTAGAGGCAGCAGTGGCTGTTCAGGATTTTGGGAAGGGGGCAGCCCCAGTCTTACCTGGAGAAGCCCTTGGGGACAGGACCTGGGTCGTTCTGCATGCCAAGCAAGTGTCTAGCCCCTCCCCAGCGCACTGCCCCTGTTCCCGCCCCCCACCCCCCCCGGGAATGGGATCCTCTTGGCTCCCCCCCCCCTCCCCATGGAATGAGGTGGGCAAGCTGCAACAGAATCTGCCCTGAAGGGAGAAGCAAGAAGAGAGAGCGCTTTGCAGACTCCCTTTGTGGGGTGTTTTGTGGGGGGGGGGAGCACCCTGGGGACAGAGACGCATGGTGAGGGGGGGTGGTTCTGGGGCTGCCTCTCTTGCCGCCACTTGCCCCATTCAGACAGGAGCTGGCTCTCTGTGCAGCCACCAGGTAACAGAGGTTTTCCAGAGGCAAAGGCGACGGCCTTGGGTGCAAGGGAACAGATTCCTGCAGGAGGGGGCTACGGAATTGTAAGTGGGGAGGGTCATCCAGTCCAACCCCCTGCCAGACTTTGGGTTACAGGGCCT